TTCTTCTTCTTCTTCTTTTCAAGGTGTCCACGTTGGGTGGACTGAAAGCCACAGGACAGCCACAAGGATGACCGTTGGGCCTGAGAGCTTATGTTATGTTGGACTTCTTGGTAAGGAAAGCTGGCCTCTTTGTCCTTGTTTGTACAAGGTCAATAGAGGTGATGGATGAGCTTGACAGCATGTAAGAGAGAATTTACACATGACATGGTTAAGTTACATGCACACAGAACACAGATGACTGTATGCAGTCACTCGGAAAAGTAGCACATGAAAAATGATGACATGATCAATGATCATTGCTCCTCAGAACTGAGCACTAGATTCAACAGTTAAGTTAGATAGATTTATATACATAGGAATGATAGGATGACATAGATTCTGCACGTACACAAACATATACAATATACATAGATACACTTGTACATATAATGATATATAAGCTTCATTTTGATATTTTGGCACCTATCTAAACTCTAAAGTTCACTGAGCCTCCCTGATTTCAAAATGAAAACAGTCAAAAATTGAAAGATTTTCCTTTGCACATCATCATTAAAGTTCCCTCCCCCCAAAAGTTCACACAGGGAGAATTGTACATTTATACATCTTAAATTAGTTTCCAGGTCTTGTCTGGGCTGCGCATAGTACTCTTCGAGGACTCGAGGTTAACACGGAGTCACAACACTCAGAGTCATTATCCAGAGGTTGTTGATCCACACCTGCAGGAATTGTAAAGAACCACTAAAAGTAAAACTGTTTAAGTAATTCAGAGCAAGGACTTTGATAGTCGGCGCTGTAGTTACTTCATAGCAATACTAGTTTCAAAAACGAATTATATATTGATAACTTAACATGAATTTATAGGGAATACTCATTAAGGAATATTCAATAATACGCAGATTGCGTATACGCCGTAAACCATATAGTGGGTATTAATCCGATATAGTAATACTCAATAATACACAAATATAGAGAATAATCAAAAGGAGATGTATATAATGTAGACACTTCTGTAGATTTTGTTACCAGTGGGCTGAACAATGCAATCACTAGGAACGCAAGAGTCCAGTGGGAAGCTTACGGGCTGGTGGTCGAGAAACTTCTCAGCGTGACACCGTGGATGTCACACTGAGTGGGTCTCGGGGGTGTTTCAACAAGTACACTGTGCTGATTGGCCGATACTCTATAAGTAACGGAAATAACCTTATCGAAAATTTATTGAAGTGTCCAAGTCGTGAAACTTTCTGCCAGTAGCACAGGTACGTCATTTTTCAGGGCTAAACTGGGTCAAGATGACCCAACACAACACAAGGACTATATGTGCATCGATATTTGGACAAGGTCTCACCAATTCTTTTTAAATGCTTTCATAAATGACATAAAAACAATGTGTTGATCTACACTATTTATATTATGTGCCCACAGTGACGTCACTCTAGAGATGCGCAGAACGGCGAAAAATTGTCACCGCCGTGGGTCAACCATATATTAGTTCAACCATGAATACTCCCATCAGGAATTAGGCGGTCCAGAGGGAAGCCCATGGGCTGGTTGGTGGTCGGGGTACTTCTCACCGTGGATGCCACACTGGGTGTGGCTGTGAGATTCCTCGTCTTAGAGAGACTCGTGTCTCTCATCCGAACGGGAGCGCAGCCGTGCACCACCAATTTTGTGCACCAATAAGCCCTGAATCGAACGCCTTGGATCCGGATATCCATCAATCAGCCGTGCACCACTCGGCTTTGTCCTCCGCCGGCCTTGACCACCACCTGCCGTGCACCACCAGGCCGCGGATCGAATCTGACTTCCGGGCATCGTTAAATTACGTAATTTTACGTTCACCGCATCTGAGGTTATTTTTCA